GAGAGAGAGAGAGAGAGAGAGAGAGAGAGAGAGAGAGAAGAAAGAAAAGCATAACGAAGATATTGTGTGTATACTAAACGAATATCGTGCAGATATATACGTTTTCACGAAAACGGGCCAGGTCCATTTAATCCAAGTTAAACGCTCTCATCGAAACTATCGCAGAATTCTAAAAATATTTCTACTCCGAAAGAGAAATAGCCTAAATGCTCGATGCACTGTGTTCGAAATGACGAAAGAATCGTTAACACAAGTTAGCGTTGGTATGGATCAGACGAAGAGAGAAGCAGAGAAGTCCTACAAACTTAATACAAATCGACGTGTTGTTCGTATAATACTATAATAAAGATTAAGACTAAGACGATCATTGAAGTAAACGCAAGGAGTAGATGGGAAACTAAGAGCGATTGCAACACGATTATATAATTAATTGTTTTGACTGCTGCGCAATGCAAACGAGAATAGACTTAAACCAACCCTAAAGTATCGTCTTAAATTAAATCTTAGAGGAATTCATACGAGTTACGAATATTCCACTTCATCAATCTACAATCCTAAATAAACACTTTATTTCGCGCGTGTTACCAAGATATAATTTATCCATCAGTTTTGATATCACAAATGATTTATCCGTTATTACGCTACTCCAATATTATTTTGTCTACAAGTATAGTAAGTCATGTGCTGTTGAGAACTGGAAAGATGGTAGTTAACTGTGACATATATACATACACCCTAACTAAAAAGAGTTAGGAGAATTATTACACAAGATGTTCATAGATTTACTGCCTAGCGTTTCCTCTCTATCAAAATGTTCTGAATTCTAGCGAATGGAAATCATAGTGAACATAAATCGTAAATCTCGATATGAAACACCGGTAAGTACGTCAATACACAATATCCGAAATATTTCTTTCAGTGCTGATTGTGAATGGTACATCGTTAAAATTCGTCTTCGCATAACATTAAAGAAAAAAAAAAAAAAAAACAGAAATCACCTTCAGTTTTCAAGAAACACTAGCGTGACTAGAAGAAATTTTTCATGTTTGCCGTTACGTTTACATTTCGTAACGAAAAAGACAGTACAACTTTGTCCCCTTTCACTTTTCCACGTCACAGCGTCTATCGTTTACGAAGAGAAAACGCTAGATAGTAAATCCGGCGCGCGTGCCTCGAGTGTGCTCCAAATACGAAGGAATTTAATTAAACAAAAAGAACAATTCAATTAAATAAGAATTGGAAAGCAACCCTTTAGATTGTACGTACGTTGGTTCGCCGTACGATCGCTGGGTGTTTGAAAAAACGCGAGTTACAGCGACCAGTGAAAGCTTCCCTTTAGACCATGCTCTTCATCTGTCGCGACCAGCTTTTGTCACCCTGCAGGCCCATTCCACCCTCTCCACCCTCGCCACATATCCGTACTACCTTCTCGTCTCGT